CACTTTAACATGAAGAAAAGTGCTACCGAAAATCATCGTATTCTACTGGATGTTTATGGTGAACATGCTTTGGCCAAAAGAACGTGCCAAAAGTGGTTGCATGGTTTAAAAGTGGCAATTTCGACTTAGACGATGGAGAACGACCCGGACGGCCTAAAAAATATCAAGACGAAGAATTGGAGACATTGCTCGACGCAGATGTGTGCCAGACACAAGAAGAACTTGCAAAAGTATTAGAGTTTATCAAGCAACCGTTTCCAGGCGATTAAAATCATTTTTTCCCAATAAAGTCTTAATTTTCGAAAAAACCCAATACATATGATTTTTTGTAAGTGCTTTTGACAGCTTCTCAAGCACTAATTTAGCATACAAGCACAGTAAAAAGTAAGCCAAATCAGGGAAAACAAACACATGCTCAGAAAGAAATCCCTTCATCATTTCATGCCATGTTGGCACCAATACAATACTGCGATAATACAAGTTTACGATCTCCATTTATTACAGGTTTCGAACATCAAGAAACATTTTTCTTTTTCTTAAGAACTTTTCTTTAAAGCGATGGCTCTAAATTTTTGGATTATATTTCTAGGTCACAATGGTATCTTTGCAGGCTTCATAGCCACACAAGATTCTTCAAAAGAGTTAAGGACATATTGCAAATTGTCGTTCTTTGAATTTTTAAGCTCGTTAGGTTATTGGAATAATTTTCAAATAATTTTCTTTAATTTCTAATTACAGTTCCTATAAGCTTAGAAGGATCCTAAGCTTTCAAAAGTGTTACGCCTGAAAACTGAATTGAATCGATTTCTTTTTATGTTTTCGTGCATGAAATAACAAATGCGGTCTTACTGAAAACAAAACAAGATTACGCTCGAAATTTTCGTTATTTGCATTTTTGAGCATTTTATGTTTTTGGAACAATTTTGAAATAATTTTTTTTTTCGTATTCCTCATTCAATTTCTTATAGGCTTAGCAATATTGTAAGCCTTCAAAAATAATATGCCATATTGGAAAAAAATTAAAATCCAATCCGTCCAAAGCTGTTGTTGTAATTTTTTCACTATTTCCAAAAATATATGGTCTGAAAGTGTTCCATAACACTCAAAACCAATTCAACCGCACGATGACCTGATTTATTCTGATGAACGAGGGTGGTTGATAACCTATGCTATGTGCATGCAACCTTCAATTTATGATATTTTCAGCTGTCTCGAAAACTAGACAACTGTTGTAACCCAAAACAGTTTCACAGTTTCCAAAGTGTCTAAGAACGGCTTATCTCTTGTTTATACAAAATTAATCCATTTAAACTAAAATAATATATATGTATGAATTTAAATAAAGAGTCAGTTACAGCTGCGATAAACTGCGCATATATGTACGTGGTATAGAAATGTATAGATGTATGTACAATAATTGTTTTTATGTGGTTTAACTTTAATTAACATGTAATTAAATAACTATTGATTACCAGTTTGGAATTGGAAGGGTCATTGATATATCTCACAACATACTGTAATTCATACATATTGTATTTTTTTCTTGTGTTTTGAATTTCTGTTACTTATGGATGTATATTGAATAACTTAATAATATTGAATAATTAAAAGAAAAATATTTTTACAATAAAGAATTTCATATTTTTTTAGCAGATCAGTTGAATTAATTGTGTCCAAGCGGGTGGGGGAGAATGTTTGAATGTATTCAAATTCAGACCTAGGCTCACATATATGCATGAAAGCAAAACTTTTCATACATATATGCCAGAGAACAAAAACTCAAATAAGAGAAAGCAATTACCTAACGCCCAAAGTTATACAAGGATTTACGCTCCTCGCATAAACAAATTGCGATACAAAAATTCTAAAAAAGTGTTTCTCTTCTGAATTAATTCTTATTATTCAGAAACGCTCAAATATACATAAGAAACTTGCAGCCTTTTGTCTTTTTTTTTTTTTGTTTGACGACGAACCCTACCCACGTGGGGTGCGATAGGCTTGAAATGGGGCATGTCACTCAAAATAGTGCGTTGGCTGAATATCGCAGTTGTTCGGCCCATACTTCTCCATAGGGTTGTAGTCTGGTGGCCAACACTTCGGAACAAATCAATTATTTCCAAATTCGATAGAGTGCGGAGGGCGGCGCTTTTGAACATCAGCAGAGCACTGCGCTCCACACCAACTGACCATTGACATAATGGAACTGCACAATGCTGCTTTCGCCGCGATAAGGCTACAAAAGGTGTCCGAATGTATAGTAATAAAGCACGGGAATATTATCTTAAGAAGATTCCGAGAAAAAACGGATTACTGCATATCAGTCACTTAAAAAAGAAATTTACTTAAATAGGAAATTACAGAAATCATTGGAAAATCAACTAAGAAGTATCTTTTTTATACCGATCCTGTCAGAATTATGTGATGTGTGAGGTGATTTAGCATGTTCGTTTCCCTGTATGCATGTACGTTTTTGAGATATTTTAACTAAGCCTGGTACACAATTATCGAATTCGGACGACTATTTCGATTTTTTCAGATATGAGTTCCAGGCTCAAAACTCCGAGAAAGGATTTAAAAACGTGAAATTCGGCGACTTTTCAAAAGATTGCTCTAATTGCAAGCAGTTGCCGATCTTGAAAACGGTTATCTATTTCATTGGCAAGGTTTTACATGTATCAACAATAATTTGTGAAAATTTGCCTTGGTTTTATGTTAAATAAACGAAATTTTCGACTTTTGATTTTCGATTTTAATTGCAAGAAAAGTGCATGTTGAATTTATTCCAACTGATAAGTTATGCAGATAGTGGTTTCAACGCTTCAAAAGTGATGATTTTAGCGTCGAAGGCAAAGATTTTTGAAGCTGAGGAATTGCAAGCTTTACTAGATCAAGATTCATGTCAATAACAAACTGATCACAAAGAAACGTTTGGAGTGGCTAAGAAAACAATTTCCGTTGGTTAAAGAAATTTGGATTCATTCAAAGGGAAGGAAATTGAATTGCAAGCGAGATATGTCGCCTCGGAACTGCCTCTATCGAGCCAAAACGTCTACATCGACAGGAAATGGAAAGATCCATGGGCCAAAGGACAGGCTCTGCATATGGTGATAACAGACGGCTGTGGTGTGCTGAAACTAGGCGAAACTATTGCAATTAATGTGTTTATGTGAAAATCTGCCAGAAACAAACGAAAAGCGTGGCATGGTCATTTTGCAGCATGGCAACGTTCGGTCCCGCATAGCTGTAACTGCCAAAAACTACCTATAAATACTTCACCCACCCACCGTAATTTTACTTTTCACTTCACTTATTCAATTCATAAAAGTTGTGAGAGTCGGTGCATAATTTAAGTGATTTCAAGTGGAATTCACAGAAAAAATGGTGAATGATTTTATACTTTTTTTTCGGAGTTTGTCTTTTTCATAACTGTTACTTGAGTAATACTCTCTTCGGCTGGCCATTTCATAATGAACAAACTCACTCGGAAGCAACGCTTGCAAAACATGCAAATTTATAACTAAAATAATGTAGACGCGTGACGCACCGCGTGCAGGGCCGGTAATTCGAACAACTATGGATCGGTTCGGCACCACGTCTACTCTAGTATTGTAGATAATGTGCACCGTGAGAGACGACAGTTCGCACCGAATACACTATTGCTACTGTGGTGCAGAGTAGCCAAGAAGATCCGAATGAGACAACTGGAGCCGCACAGTTTATGGAACATTTCGCGAAGGGATCTTGGTTAACGTGCTTAGAAAGCTCATGCAAGGTTGGATGTCTCACGACCATCCACTGCGTCGCATGATGGCCACCGATACCTATTTTCACAAGAAAACTTTGTTGCTGACGAAACTCAGTTTTGATTGTATGGTTGAATTGGTACCAAAACTGGTGGAGGATCTTTATGTGGACGAACTCCGAAAACAAATATTCAAATCTTCCCAAAAACTCAAATCTTCTGTACCACCTTTCCTATTTCACTTTCTTTGTTGCAATAGTTTTTCGTTCTTGTTTTAATATTAGATAAAACAATTTCATGGCTGGTTTCCACTATGAGATCTGTGTAATTTTTTTTTTCTGTTTTCATATGGCATTTACTTTGGCTAGTTGATGGTGAACTTGTTTTTACATATTTCCTTTTACATTTATATGTATGTATGATATTTTAGAGATCAATTTGTGAGTTTTTTTTAAATAGTTAAAAGTGATATTAAATAAATTTAGTGATGCTATTATTTTTTTTTTACAATGAACACAGAATTTGTGTACTTACTAAATGCCTAAAGTTATGCTTTACAATCAAAATAATTAATTAAAAGCAAACATTTGTATTAAGAAAGCTTTAGAATGTTATGAAAAGCATAGTAAAATAGTATTTGCGCTAATATTAATATTTATTTAAATGAAAAATTTGTATGTAACACTAAGTGAAATGCTTCTCTTTATAATAAAATCACATTTAAACATAACCAAAAAATATTACAGTTATTTATTTGAACTTAAAGCTTCAATTCACCACTTTCATTACATACACTTAGTATGTACACATTTTAGCTACTACATATACGCTTTAGATGATATGATAAACTTATGTTCCAGTACCTTTTTTCCTAGCCTAAAACTAAATCTAGAAGAATCCCTATATATTTCTCTTAACTCTTTCTTTCTTTTTGTTTTGCTATTTCTCCCCTCACTTAAGTCTAAAACTCTTATCTTTTATGTTTAATTTTATTTTAAGTTTGTATGAATATGTATGTAGGTATGTAGTATTTAAATATGTATGTATATATAATATGTATGTATGTAGTTAATAGATAAGGAACATAATTACAAATGAGGAAATACATGAGACTATGTATGTATGTACGAGTATGTATGTATGATCGCTGCTTATTATATAGATGTAAAATCTATGTATATATGTATGTAGTAAATGTACATATGTATGTATGTAACTAATTATATCTATATATTGTATATATGCATGTGTATGTACTCATGTGATGTAGTATGTTTGTATGCACAGATGTAACTCTACATATTTAGTACACGTAAGTATGTATGTACGTATGTTTGTCTTTTACAATGATTCTTAAACATAGTTTCTTTCTTACATACATACAATATATTCTCATGCTCTTTTCGCCGGTCAATAAAGATTTCTGAACAAAAAACAAACAAAAAATAAAAATAAAAAATCATTAAACTAATTAAAATTCATGTCGTCATCTTCTCGCCCATCCTGATTTAGCGAAATCAATGTGAATGCAAATTACTCTCCACCCATTTATATAGCGATGTCTGGGAGCGCGCCACCCACTCCACATTGGAAGCCACGCTGCTGAGTGTCATATTCAACACTTCCATGCCGGCACCGCGTCCAAAGCGATGCACCAGTGATTTTAGCTAATGAAAATATACAAATTTACATTGACTCAAATCGTATTCGCTTCAAATTCTTAGCTTCCATCAAAACCTACCTCATCATAATCGAACTTCGTCGCACCGTATTGTGTTATCGCCGATATCACTTTGGCAAAACTTATCGTACCATGACCGAGTCGATTCTCCAACTCGAACCATTTGGCTTGAAGGAAGCGGCATGCCATTGCACCGCCGGTCGGTGTGCCGGCAATCGCTTGCAGTACTTGCACCACTTCGACCGTTGGCAGCATGGTGACATGGGAGAGTAGACGATTTTGTAGCCAAGCGTCTTTGGTACGGCCGAGTGCACGTAATAATTGCATACGTTCGACGAAACTCTCCGAGTTGCGTTGTAGCGTAATGAAACGTTCCCAACAATGTTGCCAGTAAATGTACTCACCGGAGAGTATGGAGCCGGTGTAGACGACCTGTGGTGTAGTGTGGTGTTTAAATGTATTTCATTTATTTATTAAATACACCATTGATTACAGTTATTTATTACAAACCTCTTTCAGATTAGGCGGTATCGCTGTGCCGTTGTAGTAAAGAAATTGGTTAAGCATATTTTTGGCCTTTGTTATGCTATCGATGTCTTCCCATAGAACAGAACTCAAGAGTACTTCCGGTCGCATTAATCTGTGGGAGAGAGTTACGAAAGAGATTAAGAAAAATATTATCACATTTAGTTTTCAAAACAACAATCGATTATTCCTTTTGATAACTTCTCATGAAGACTACGAGTACTTAATAAAATTTCACGAGCTTTTCTTGAGGCCAATTTTTTACAAGCAAAATCATTTCCGATAGACATATGCTTGGTAAGAAGTCCAGCCTTTAAGGTAGGTGCATAAGAACTTCCCAACCGACCTCTCGGAGCTTCTGGCGAGTCACTATCTGGGTGTTTACTAACTTCGCACGGTCCATTACCGGGCAGCACAGGTCCACAGGAATCCTTGTCAATACCATCAAAAACAGAACAAAACCTCCCTGGCTGTCAATTCTAGTTTGGAGACTGTTTGTGCCAGCTCACTGCCATTCGACCACAATTCGGTTCACGGAGTTTTTTTTATGTATCCAGCCTTTTCCAAGTGGAACCAAACTGTTTTTTGTGTAATTTTTAGCTTCCGGGCAATCGAAACAGTGATCGCATAACGTTCAGAAGTAACGCCTTTTGGGGGCTAACCCATGCTGAAGTGTTTGAAGAAAAGGCCTAAACTTCTTTATATACAGCTCCCATCGAGCTATTGAAATCTTAAAAGAAAAACTAAACTTTCAGGCATTTCAAAATAATGCGAAAACCTGTTTGTCTGGTACGGAAAGATGGATTAGTCAAATCACTTTCTAAAAGTTTCCATTCTTACAGTCTCGAGCTCAGAAGGTCTGATTGGTTCTAAGTCTGGGGCCATTAAGAGAATTTTGCAGAGTTGGATCAAATTTTAGTTAGATGATACGAAGTCCGGGCTTTATGGTGAGAGCGTCAAAAATGTGGTCCTTGTCATGATGAAACTCAATACCTTTTCTATTGATCAAATTCCGTCGCTTTTTTTTGGAGAGGTTCTTTGAAGCTGATTAATTGTTGACAATACTCGCAAAACTCAGAGCTGACCATTTTTCCAAGTTATAGCAGCTCACAAAGGAAAATACCATACCGTTCGACCATACCAAACACCATCACCTTGTCAATTCATGCTTTGAAGTCGTTTCTTGACGCTCACGGGCTTTGAAAATGTTTTTCTTCGTTTTATATTCTCATACCTAAACCATTTTTCAACGTTTGTGATGAGTCGCTACAGAAATGGTTCGATTTTGTCATGTTTCAGAAGCATTTCACTGCTTGAATTCCGGTCAATAAAATTAGTTACGATAGTTCATGAGACACCCAAAAATCGTTCTTATTTGCTTAAGCCATCTTCTCATAGATCATTTCAAACTGTCTCATTTGTTATTTCTTTGGTGTCGAGTTTTCCGGAATGGAAACGAGCATTCCCACCATTAGCCCAAAATTATTTTCAGGACGTTTTTGAAGCTTGAGTATTTTTATTTTTTCTGTAGAAAATATTTGACATATTTCACTTCAATAGCAGCAGCGATTTTCGGACGAGCTCCTCGACTAATTTGTGGCAGCTGATGGTCTCTTATGATGCGATTTTATTTGATTCCATAAATACACACGAAAGGCTTGACCTCCGAGGGGCGACCGCAATTAGAAAAATTACCTTCCTTTTTTTATTTAAATTTCTATAATTTTAAGTTGTTGGTCAGGCAAGGACTTGATCCCTGGCCTTCCGAATGGCCGTACGCAATGCTGACCACATAGTGATAATTATTCATACACAAATAAATAAAAGAGGTGTGTACACCGTTCCTCTGTGTCTAAATTTCTTTCGGGCTGTCTATCTTCAATATCATCAAAATTGCAAAAATCATTAAAAGAGCAAAAAATTAATGTAACCGTTTTGAAAGAATTTTGTAGATCTATAGTAAGGATAACTTTAATGGAATTAAGATATTTCTTTGACTAATGGGCACTGCATCAAGCACTTTCACACCTTTATGGTTGACTTTTTTTCGAAAATTCCCTGCGCCACAAACTCAGGCGATATTTTCACCTACCATACTCCTGCGGCATACTTCAGCTTGAAAATGATGAACAACTTGTAGACCTTCGACTTTGTTCGTCGAAAGAAGTCTTTTAATTGTCTCTTCTTCTTAATTTGGCACAGGCATCCTTTATGCGATTATAGCCGAATCATCATTAGTCCGCCAATCGTTTTTTCTCTCCGCATTTCGGTGCCAATTGGAGTGCCCAAGTGAAATCAAATCCATTCCTACGTCTTCTTCTTCCTCTACATCCACCTAAAGGTGGTGATTAAAAACTTTTATTCGTTTCGGTAGAACGACCCGACTGTCGCGGGAACTATTGAATTTTAGTCGCCTCTTCCACAGTCATGCCTTACTAAGGGTAAATTCTTGAACCCATAACCCGTAAGGGTTCTTAGTAAACAATATTCAGCGTCACTTATAACAAGAAGAACATAAATTTTAAGGGACACATTTTTCTCGAAAACTTTGAGTACATGATGGTAATAAAGAGCGATTTGTATAGCTTGGTCTAACTTTGACCTCCATAAATATATATGTACATTTATATATATATAATTAGCGCGTTGTAAACGCTGAAGCGATTTCTGGCCGAGCTCCTCCTCCAAATTTCGGTTTTACGTCTTGATGTTTTTCCAACAAAATGGAGGGACCGATTTTATTTAAATAAAATTTCACCAGGACTTGAACCCGAGCCTTCCGAATGGCAGTATGCAATGCTTATCACTCGGTTAATTAATATTTTTTTCTTTTTAGTATGGTATCTGCGCAGAAGGTGATAGCGAACACTTCTGCTTGGAAGATGCTGGGGTATATCTCCTTAGATATCGAAAGCCATGTTTTGGGGCCCGTTATCCCCATGCTTTTTACAGGGGTTTTTGTGCTCTGCTCAGTCTGCTCAGCCTGAACTTAAAATTCTAAAATCAATGTTACTCACCTCTGCGCCTCATCGCCATCATCATTCCAGCCAATTTTCTCAATAACTGTAGCCAACTTCATTTTGATGAACTCGGACAACATCAGGAAACACTCCGAATATTTTAATATGCGCCGCCACTTTTCCAAATGTCTCAACGCTACAGTCATGGGACCCCAATTTGTTTCGCTTGGTAAATATTGTACCATATTCATGGTGATCTCGCAGGGCAATAAGTTGGCATGGCAGAGAGTGAAGGAGTCCGACAGCAAACCAATGCGATCCTTATAGAAAAAGAAGTTTACATCTGTATATAAATAAGACAAATCAGAAGAATTCGAGTTACTAACCTCAGCAGAAAACCGCTCGGGATTGTTAGAGAGCACCTCAATTAGATTAGCCCAATTGTCATCGTTATATAAGACGCGGTAATAACCCGATTGCAAGGCATTTACCTTTACCCACTTAACATTCTCCGGCACATTAAAGGTGACTGAAAAGGAACATTTATTCATTAGGGAGAGACGAACTTTTAATGCTTTGTCGTACCTACCGTCAATATTCTGCAACCACAAAGTCTCGCTGGCATTGCTAATATCAGTTATGTAGGTAATCGGGAAGATCCACTTCATCTTCGTTGGCTGCTTGCCCTTACCCGCTGGCGTCGGTGCCACTGTGCTCGGCGTTTCAGTAACATTCACAACAGTTTTATTGTAATTATTGCCATCATATGTTTCATCATGTATGGCAAGGAAGTCAGCTGGTTTGAACGGTCTCTGTGATATGGATATACTGTTGCCCATTTTGGTAACAGTTAGTAGAGGGAAGCCCGGTTGGTGTGTCCACAATGTCATCATGTCCTGGTAAAGGAGTAAGGCGAAAAATAGCAGTGAGACTGAAGCGAAATGAAATCTCAGAACTTACCTTAATATTTTTAGAACCATTGGCTTTTTTGGTGCAAATCGTCCACAGATCTGTGGGCTCGGCAGTTTTAAAACGATTGATTTTTAGAAACGCGCCAAGGCAACCGCGAAAACGGTCCTCGCCGATGGCCGTGTGCAACATCGAAAATATGGCAGCGGTCTTGAAAGAAACATTTACATTAATTTATAAAATGATGGCATCCAATAAAACGGTTTCGAATGGTTTACAGGTGAAAGTATTCCTTAGAAATATACAGAACGGATAATCGAATGAAGAGCATTAAGAAAAATTTCAGTGATTAATATTTATATTTGTATGCCCATTGAGTATCTAGCTAAAATAAGGAACCTACTGTTGTAGCGCTTAGCTAACTCCGCTTAGGAGCAGGCTATATCAGCCTCTTTTATCGAGGTAATCTAACGGGCGGTTCAGGAAACGGGCTGTTACAGTCTATATAGTTAGGATTTCAGTCCGCTACAGTATCCAGACCTAAGTTGCGCCAGTATTACGCGGAACTCTCGAGGCAGCTCGATGTTTTCGTACACAATAGGTCGTGGTTTGGCTCCGAGAATGCCATTCACAGGAAGAGAGTTCATGCAGGTGTTGACGGACTCTAGGTGAATGGTCGATATGTTGTCCTGTTCAGCGGTTATTGTAGGTGGTGTTGAATGTTTTCCCTTTCTGATGAGCCTGGTTGGTGGCTCGGCTACTACGGTAGCTTTCCGGCCATGAATTATGCTCCTTTACTCGTAGGAGGGTCTTCTGTTACGGAATGAAGGAGTGTAGACTGTCGAATGAGACTCTTAATAACTCCAAGTAGTTTATAGTGGTATTTTTACATCATTGACTTTCACATCGAGTTCGAGGCGATACTCCTTCGTCCAGCTGATGAAGAGGGTAGCCGAAAATTCCACCGGTTGTAAAGGTCGTCGAGATAGGAACTCACTTTCGAGCATTAGCCATCAAAACCCTGAGCAGACGTTAATATCGAGCAATAACCGGCTCATATGGGATCAGTGAAAGCCCTTCCGGTGGAGGAGGGGGTCACTTGGCGCTTTTTCTAGTTCGACGAGGCGCGATGATCGAATGAATTTTCCAACCGGCCATCGCTTCTCGTCATCCATGCTAAGTGCTTATGCTCTCCAAAGGCAAGCGACAGCAGAGACTGTGTAAAACATAAAACAAAGAGGCCGATACTCTTGAGTGAAGCCGAAAGTGAAGAAGAAATTATAAGCATCCGAAACCAGTAAAACGCAACGACGGAAGTAATATTAGCAGTGGTGGAGGTACGAAAACAGATTATTCCCGGGATACTTTTGGATCTTGCGTAGTTAGCTCAGATACGAAAACTGTTTGCCTCACGTAGAAGCAAAGCCAGTGAGTAGGCCTTGAATCTACAACCAGGAGTACAAGAAACGTTACAGATATACGAAAATTATGTAAACCAAGCTCAAGAGAACTCACACTATTCAATAAATATCGCCCCTCCTCTAATTAGTAGGTGGAGCCAAGAACCGAAGCTTCGCGTCTTAGTACGGACATCAAACTCACTGGAAAGTTGGGGTGGGAAAATAAAATATGCCTTCAACGAAGTCACAGTGAAAATCTTCAAAAAGGACCTTTACCGCAGAGGATCTGATTGGGCGCATCAATTTTTACCTTAATTTATCAAAAAAAAATTAAAGTGAGGAATACCTTTTCAATAAAAAACTCCTCATTATTTCCATCATGCTTTGTGCCATTCATAATGCTGTCCCAACCCTGAATGGCGTCAATATCTAGCGCCGCCGTAGCCATATTCAGCAGATACATTTCCTTCAATGGCCAATTGGTTTGTTGCGGTGAAAGTGCATGTATGCCTAAATATTTGATGAGACCCTCCCACAGCCAGACATCCTTCAAGACTTTTCTCGAAGTTATGCCGCCAAAGAACTGTCTCACCATAGCCTCAGCCACTTGCAGAGCGCTCTTCTGATATTCAACAGTCGTTATCGAATCGGGATCGGTGAGAAAGGCCGTCTTAAGTGTGACCAAACCCAACGAGGAAATGATATTACGATCCAACGATGGCAACGCTACAAAGTCTACCTTCGTGAGGGGATATAAGATGTCCAACCAGGTTTGTAGATGTTCCAAAACGTCACGCGCTGTATGTAGTATAAAAGATGAACGTGGCAGTAGATCACGTGGCGCATAGAAGGTGTAAGAGGGTGCACGTTTAATTAGCGAACCCGTCGACTGACTGAGTGATGTCAGATTCTTGCCATTGGCCTCGGCAGTGGGCGAAATGGTTGTTGTGGTGGCATTTTTCATCAAATTGATATTCAGCGAATGTGTCAGCGCTGTTATATTGCGCACTGGTGGCTTCTTTTCTTTCATCTGTGTATAATTGTTGAGTTGTGCTGATTTCTTGGCACCCGTAGCGCTTGGTGGCGCTGGCGTGGTAGGCAAATACGCTGGTGAAGGTTGAAGGGACTCGCGTTGGAAATCGCTCACCACCCAAGCGACAGCATCGGCTGGGAGGGGTGGTGTCTCGATGAAGTCATCGCGTAGCTGTAAGTGTAGAAGGGAACAGAAGAAAATTATTTTGGTCGTATTAGTTAAATACTTGAAGCTTGCTTACCAAACCCGTGCCCATATAAAAGCCAACATCCTCTGTTGTGTGCACAATTGAATTGGAAAGTCCAATATGGAAGCGATCGCGAAATACTGAAATGCGAAATGGCGCGCGTATTTGGGGCTCATCGAAGCAGGGAAATGCTCGACGCGCGCTGTTCGGGCGAAATACTGTTGCTGCCAGTAAACTGTTTGGATGTCAGGAGTATAAAGAAAATAATTTGTTAAATAGAAGTACAATATTCATACGAGTTAATAAATTCGGGATCACTTCGAGAGCAGTGAAGAATCACTACGAGCTACTTAAGGTTCATTTCGTGATTTTAGCAAATCCAATTCAGAAAAATGTCGCGGAAATAAAAGCTAGCTCAATAAAAGTTTAGACTCTTCTCAGAACTTAATCGGCACTTTGCTTTACCCTGCTTGCCAGACTTATTCATGCCTTAATTTCTTCAAAAAGTGTGAGAATATATTACTTTTTTCTTCACCAAACAATCGAAGCTCAATAAGAAAATGGGGGAGTTGCTTATCATTGTGAGTTTCAGACTAAAGATTCCACAGCCCATCAGTTCCCTTGGAAAAAGGTTCACTTTAGTAAATTAGTTTTGAGGATACAGTTTTATATGATAGTGACACCTCTTTCCTACGCAGTCAACATCATGACAGTGCAAACCGCTTTAAATCGTGGCTTAGCTAGAGCTTGTGACCGATATTGCGCGACCGTTCTGAATAATCTCAAGGTGGAGTCAAAGCAGTGAATCTTTCCCTTTGCTCTATATGCGAGACTGGATTCGAAACACACATTTCCACAGACTCAATCGAGTCGTTCGGGCTTTTGTCGGTCTTAAGTATATTATCGAATAAAAGTTATGCTATTTTACTTCGGACATGGTGTAAAAGTTGCTCATAAAAAGCAATCTGCCGTTTAGAGGCGACTAAGAATGAACTGCAGACACCTCCATTTCTTGGAAAATCATTATAAACACGCGCACGAAGAATGCCACCAAAAATCGTTTAACTGTTCCCAAAAAAAAACGAACCTCTTGCTTGGAAGTGCTTCGGAAGCGAGCAACTTTTGTTGGATACAACTCATCTTTAATCGCCATACAAGAACTTCTGTTTACTTTCGGGCTCATTCGTGTAAATTTACGATTCAACATTTATTACGATGTTAGAGCTCTACCCTGCGCAAGGAGGTTCAAGAACTTTAACGCGTAAGGCATGCGAGCCGTAAGAGGCGACAAAAATCCTGAAGTTTCCGCTACATACGGTTCTTCATACCGAAACTACTGGGACTTATATCCGGTCAAGGATAAGAACAGCAACAACATTTGGAAGATTTGGCTTGAAGCCCCGCTGTTTTATTTTCTTTTAACATTTCTCTCGGTCAATCGACAGAAAAATTTTTTGAGCGAAGGTCGGAAGTTGTGTGGGATTCATCATGGCGAAATTTTATTACAGTTAAATGCCCATGTAATATACAATTTATGCTGGTTCCATGATGATCTTGTAATACCAGTTTGCCCACTGCTTCAATAGCTTCCGGAAAATCTACTGATTCTAAACGACCTTCACGAAATATATTCGCCGTTCCCAATTCGTACAGGACCATAAATCTACCCAAAACCTTTTTCTCGAAAACTCCTAACGCCAACTCTTCAGAAGTTGTCATCTTCAATGCCACCGCACCACACTGCATGTCGGGAACGATGAGTGACTTGTAGAGTTTGATCTTCTTAGGTCGAGAGCGAGTTTTTGTTCTCACTTGCCTGCTCAGTTCAAAGTAGCACCTGTTTGCAGGAGGGATTATGCGCTGGATCTTCTGTCTTATATTGTTGTTGGTGTTAATGATGGTTCCAAGATAGACGAATTTATCGACAACTTCAAAGTTTTTACTGTCTACAGAGACTTGGGAGCCGAGTCGCGAATGCGTTGACTGTTTTTTTCATAGCAGACTTATGCGCTTAACTTTCTTATCCAGACGAGAGAAAGCAGAACTCACGGCGCGGTTATTGAGGCCAATAATTCAATACCTTCTCTATTCAGGTCTGCAACTCGTATTATTTTCTACAGCAGTAAGTTAAAAAAGACACATGATAAGGAATTACGCTGTCTAAAGCCTCGTTTGATAACACACGGCTCGGAGAGGTCCTTCCCGATCCTGGCTTGGAGCTTTTGGCGGTGCTTAATGTCAGTTTACACAGCCGTATAAGCTTTGCGCGTATACCTAGCTCAGACGTCGTGGGCAGCTCCTTTTCCTATATTTAATTGGTGATTTGTAAACGCTGAAGCGATTTTCGGCCGAGCTCCTCCTCTAATTTGTGGTTTTGCGTCCTTAAGTATACCCAAAAAATTAAGGGACCTACAATTTATACTAAAACGCCTCCGAACGGCAGATGGTTTTTATGAGAAGCTTTTATCTCATGTCAAAAATACACTCTGATGGGCTGGCATTGGGCTTACCAAGGGGCAACCGAAATTAAAAAAATTAATTTAAGTTTTTATTTAAATTAATTTTCTATAACTTTTGGATGTTATTCGTAGCAGGATTTGAACCCTGAACTTCGACTTTCGAATGGCAACCACTCCCCTACCGCCGCAGTATTTAAGAAACTTCATCATTTGAAATCCAAAAAAGATTCGAGAGCTATTCCATTTTTTACTATTTATAATTCAATATATTTTGAGTTCAATGCCAATAAATGTATAAATTTCAACTCACCGCTCCAAGCCATTCGAGCTCTCATATTGATCCACGTAAAAGCCTTCCGGTTCGGGATTTAATTTCGAATACCAACGCAAGTTGAGCGTATAATTTGATTTCTTCTTTAATTTGTCCTTCACTTCGATATACAATTGCTGACGCGGTGGATACTCCAACACTTTGACAATTTTTATGGCATACCCTTTATTGCCAGTCGTCACAATGGCCTATGTAAAAGGAGAAAAGAGACGCATCAAGTTCGACCTTTTCGTTTTTATGTCAATTCAGCAGCAAAGTTATAAATAAAATTAAAACTTTTATTAGCCAAAAACTCAAACAAAAGAAATGAATATACAACAACAACAACAGCAGCAGCAATAAAATAAAAAACCAACCAACAACAATGCACACACGGGCACGAGCGCACTTACCCTATCGGTGACATTCAAGTCCTGTATATGCAGCACTATGAAATTTGTTTCCTTCTCCATAAAAAGATCAATTGTCACTTGACCTGCATACAGGGGGGGGAGAGAGGTAGAAGTAGGGAAATTATTTGATTTTTAGTTGCCTTTGTATACACACACATACACACTTTCTTACGGGGAAAACTTTGAGCCCCATAATCGCGCAGCCATTTCGCTTACCTTTGACATCCAACGTCGTCAGATTGGGATGTATTGTCACCATATAACGCAACGGGCGCGCACTTGTCGGCAGCGCCAATTCCAGCCATGGATATGGCTCACCATTCGTCGCAATCGGATTGAACGGTTGTGTGTCGTTCTCTTCATCCGTTTCGTAGCCCGGTGACAATTTGCCCGCACACGAACAATCTGCAATGGCAAGCAAGCAAAGAGCGATGCCAAAATGTATGATAATTAAATAATAATGTCAAATAAACTATTTTCTTAGTTACTTTTCTATTTTTAGTTAGTCTATCTATTCGTAATAATACAATTATTTAATAATTATTTTGTTGCATATTATTTGCGGGGCAGGAGTGGGTTGGGTTTAATACATTTGTTTAGTTCATGACAACTAATCGAAAGCTCTGTATGTATAAAACTTACTATATATATTTATGTGTTTATATTGTTTAAGACCTAAAAAAAATCGATTCATGACATTGCTTAGGTAAAAAATGGCCCTTTCTCAATGCACTGTTAATGCGAGATTTAATAATTAATAATTCAAAGCAGTGTAAATATATTTATAGAATATCTTTATTTTTTCATATTAATTCTAGTACATAAAAATTATATATTTTTTTTCAATTTAATTTTCATCAAATTTAAAAAAATAATAATAAAAGTCTAAAAAAATTTATGTAACATATGTATGTACGAAACTAGTTATTTATATGTGCTAATTAAATACAAAAATAAAGGGTGTTTTTTTGTTAGGCATGCGGCTTTCTAGTAGAACTAAAACACATGTAATTTAAAGAGTCACAACTTCGAGATCATGGATAAGTTCGTCTATATTGGAACCAGTGTTAATACCAACAAACAATGTCAGGCTGGGAATCCAGCGTCGAATCACACTTTGGCAGCAGCTTATTCGTTGCCTACTGAGTAGGCAATTGAAAAGTAAAGTCTCCTCTCGGTGTACGAAGACCAAACTCTACAAGACGCTCATCATACCGATCCTACTATATGACGCAGAAGTGTGGACAATGAAAACTTCTGATGAGTCCGCGTTAGGCTAAAATCGTATCTCGGTCTCTTTCTTGTTTGGTTTGTAGATGCATCTTGGTTCTCTCTTTAATTTCCGCTATCTAAGTAATCTCGCACGTGTAATGATTGATCACAACGCTACAAGGTAGGCGGTCTGCTTTCTCTTCACTGCGACAGGGCATTTTGCTTCTTTTACAGCTGTAGATAGAGAGCTTGAAATGCTGCAATGTAGGAGTGCAAGTCGAGTAGAAAAGCGCTCGGCTGTATGTTGTGATTGCAACTTTTCGACTTCACATGTGTTTGTTGACGAACGATCTTTGAAACAAGGTAGCGAGTGCGTATCTTCGCTGCAACAAAACAATGGTCAGAGTCGATGTAGGGTCCTCGAACAAGAACACTGAAAACATGTCTTCTGTCTTATACAACATGATCGATTTGGTTTTGGGTTTTTCGATCAGAGGGCAACCAAGAAGTAACTCTGTGAATTTGATTGTCCTGGAATCTATTAGTACAGACAACCATATTTCGGACACCGGCAAAGTCGCTCAGCTCCTATCAATTAGGAGACGTTTCGTTGTGGAGGCGGAATTTTCCGTCAGTTGTACCAAAGATACCTTCTTTGCATTAAAATCGCCAAGCAAAAAGCCAAGAACTTAGTTTCATTATACAGATAAAGATTTGCCATTATGTTTTTAAATTGATTTCAGTAAAGTAATCACCGCGACTGGCTCGAATAAATGGTCCAATTTTTGACCACTTTTAGCGACGAATACTCTCTTCCAAAACGTCAAACTCCTCGGACTTATCTGCGCAGACAATAGTCAAGCCATGTTAAATCGTATGATCTTAGAGACCATACCGCAGGTCCAGGACGCAAGATAATGCGCTTACCAAAAGTTAATTTTAATAAATTGTATAGCATGTAGCGCCGTCTTGTTTGGTACCAAATGTCGTCCATAGCACCATTTCTAAATTCAGCCATGATGAAGCTATGAAACATGGTTCTATATCATTCCCCGTTGAATGTAACATTTCGACCAGCTTAAGTTAGGTTAGATTGAACTGGGGTCGGGTCACATAGATGATATTACGCCCTTAGAGTTGCCAGACACACTATGTAAATACGATGAAGCTTCACTCTTTACTTTACTGTTTACATTAATGTTATTTTCGCAAATTTATGTAGAAATTTTGGTCCCATGCCCATTGCCGGTCCTGTAGCATTTCGGCGCCAAGTACACTTGTACACTCACACGAATTTCTTACATTTGCTTTCCTTTTTGCCCTCACTCAGACCTAAAATTAAAACATACGGTGCCAAAAGGCAATGTCTCGTCAGCAGTCCTACCAGCAGTCTGGAATCCGATGTCCCTACCGATAGTAAAAACTGTGAGTTAGCGTCATAACTGCCTTCATTCTTGAAGAAATATGGACCGGTGATTATCTCTGCACATAAAGCATACCAAACAGTGATTTTTTCAGGATGCAATGGCGTCTCTACAATGGCTTGCGCATTATCATGACGTAACGTGCCCATTTTCTTGTGAAATTCGGGGTCCAATTGTTGTGTGCGCACTATACGACGTCTCTCAGAATGCGCACTATCTACTAGAATAAACGTGAATGCCCAAATTATCGGCCCTCATGAGTGAATATGTCCACCGAATATTAGTCGCAGAGTATGTCACACGAACTGAATTATAATTGTGGTAATAAATTTGCTCGATTAGCAAACGTTACTTCGGTGTAAGTTTGATTTTTATGAAATGGTAAACCAAACTGAGTATAAATCAAGTAAGTTCAGTCAAGAAGACCGGCCGAAGAAATCGTGTGTCATTAAAAACCACATGTCGAAAAAACACCCTTTACATATATGCATGCATTACACCAAGTTGGCAACACGAGCTAAGACAATTACCATGACAATCATATTGAAAGCTATTATGTAAGTGATGGCATAAACATTGGAGAGCGAATCTTTATTGCGGTACCTGTTATTTGGTACTGGGGTACTGAGCAACATGCAAAGCTCAAGTTCAGGATCGAGCAGGAGCTGCTTTCATGCAGAATACGTATGTAAATGTCTAGTGTCTGGATACATCGAGTCTCGATAATCTGGATAAGTACAAACAGGCGTCTAGGGTTTTGTTGGAGCGAGGGCTAAGCTCTTTAAGATCGAAATATCATACAAAATCGAAAACGTTTCAACAACTGGGAGAGCTTCGAAATAAAATAATAAATCTAAAAATAAAGTTTAGTGATAATTTAGGGAGTCTCCATTTTCTAAGGATTTGAGGCTAAATAGAGTTTTTTGATTCATAATATGTATAGATGTGTGGAGTCTGGGGTTACACTCCGGCATATCCAGTTTAAGTGCCCAGTAGAGTATTGCTCCCAGCCGAGCAATTCAAATTTAGCGACGAAGTACTGATAAGGTGCTGCAGATTATAGTCTGGACGATTGAGACCATAGTGTGTTCTGCCCAATCCACAAAAAAGGCAACCCCGCAGTTGGCGTCAATTAGCGTGGGATAAGCCACCTAAATTACTCATATATGGACCTTTGGACGGTATTTTGTACAATACTAAAGTTCACCGAGTAAAAACTATCAGTGTGGCTGTAGACCTCGTTAATCCACTATTGACCAGATAATCACTATGCGAAAATGTTAGAAAAGAGTATTAATACAAGTTACCTCTTTGGCGATTTTAAGACGGCATTTTACAGCAGCCTCCAAGCCGATATGTCTGAATACGGCATTCCCGCAAAACCTGTAGCAACATGGAAAGCTCCGAGCCATTCGATAACAAACGAGATTTCAGATAAGGTGACTCCCAATTATGTGACATCTTTATTTCATTACTGGAAAAAATAGTACGAACTGTAGATCAGAATAGGGAAGATGCAAACTTCTCTAAGAAGCGTACGCCGATGATATTGACATTACCGCACCGTGAGTTCTGCTTTCTCCCGACTTGTTAAGTAAGCGAAGCATATGGGTCTGGTAGTGAGTGAGTACGAGAAGAATTCTCTCCTGTCATCGAACAAACAATCATCACTAACGCCACTGGGCTGCCATGCCACTATTGACAGTCATAACTTTAAGGTCGCAGGTATTTTCGCCTTTTTTGGACCCTGCTTTTTAAGACTAACAACAATATCTGCTTAAAAATCCAATGCGGAATCCCTCTTGCCAACAGGTGCTACCTTGGACTGAATGGGCAATTGAAATGTAAAGTCCTCTCCCGATGAACATGGACAATACGCTTATTACACCGTTCTGCTTTACAGTGTAAAAAAGAGGACGATTACAACATGCTATGAGTCGGCATTAGGAAGTTTCGAGTGATAGGTTATAGGATAGGACAGCTCATTGCGTGCGTATGAGCGACAACAGTACCCGCTAGTGGAAGCAATAAGTGTAGACCTCTAATCCGCTGTAGGGATCACGACGAGAGCTATTTTGCTTTCCTTGACATCCCAAAGGCCCTATTGTTGTTTCGGCTATAATCTCTTAAGGAGTGCTAAGGTAAATTAAGATAAAGAGAAAAAAAGAGTATGCATGTTATAATTACCGTTACACTTTTGTTAGAAACATCGCATCGTACGTCACTTTCATTGAGGGGTTCAACACGTGTGACGCTTTCAATAAATCAATTCGCTAGAAAGTTGCATAATTTGTATGGCAATAAGGCCCTAAGAGGAACAAAGTGTCCAGAGATTTTTCAGATCGGCCGAGTGAAGTTTATGATGTCGATATCAAGACTTTAATCAAATCGGGTCATCATATAACCGGTCGTGAGATTGGAGAATAGTTAAGTATTCCAGAACAATTGTTCACAATCATATATGACGCCGTGGTCTGGTAAAAAGAATTGATATTTGGGTACCCATGAATTAAAGAAATTCATTTAACAATCCGCTTCAACGTATGTGAAATGCATCTTAAACGCAACGAATATGATCCGCCTTTGAAGCAAATCATAACTGGATATGAATAATGGATTGTTTACAATAACATCAATCGAAAACGAACATGGCCCAAGCATGATGAAGCGCCACAAATGCTGATATTCATCAAAAGAATATTATGCTGTCAGTTTGGTGGAATTGGAAGGGTGCGGTATATTTTGAGCTGCTTCCAAGGAACAAAACGA